TTTCACATGGCAGGCGGAAGGAATTTTTTGCCCTGGGATGGCCAGATTGGGCCTGTTATTTTAGGGGAGCTCCATTGACTACAGGTTGGTAGCATCCTGCTGTATGTCATGAGCCATGTGTTAATGTCAACAATCTGGGATGTGATCCGTTCTCAACATCTGAGCCATGATTCTTGGCCACTATGTTTCCTAACTCCACACTGAGTCCCCATAAATATTTACCTGTGTTCTCTGGTGATTTTAGTCAGGGTTTTAACTATGAAGGTAACTGAGTCATGTTCATTTAAGAGTTGGTTTATGTTGGGGTTAACAATGAGGACAGCCATGTTAGGACTAGACCCTCTCCACCTTGCAGATGGTCTACCTTTATCTCCCTGGATAGATGCCAAGGACAGTTGGGGAGACAGTGACCTAAATACAACTTATCTTTCTTGGTTGCCCAGCAACAATATCCCTTAAGTGACCTTCCTGGTACTTTTCCACTAGCCCCCTATATCTAGTCCAAGCCTGTGTATGGCACTGGACTCTAGCTCTCTTTCTGGGGTTGCTCTCCCCAGGTCTCATGCCTAAACAATAAACTATGTACTGGTGTTTGAGCTGTCTCTCTGCCGCTTCCATGCCTCTTATTTTCTAACAGTTTATGTAAAACTTTCTAGATGACCTCATGGTTAAACAACTGTTGTCCTGGGTGATTATAATATGGTTGGTACCCTATATGTGTCTGTGACTGGGCTGTTTGGGTTTGCTAAAACTGTTTTTTCCCCCTACAAATGGTAAAAATCTAAGGTTTTACTTCAAGAACATCTAAACTAATATGTATATATAACCCCTATAGATCTGTGATGCTGCTGCTGGTTCCTACATATTAAATATACTTATGTTTTTCAAGTATATCAAGCCTTCTGAAATACAAAATTTAGATAAAAACAATAACAAAAAATGGTACTAATATACTGTTCTGTTAGTTGCTAACTTGTCCATCAAAATTTTAACCATGGCTCTTAAGTTTTTGTCATTACAGTTCTGATCCTTCTGGGGCATTTACAATCAAGTCCATAAAAAATGACTCTAATAAGTGCTTATGTGTCAACTAGGTTAGCTTCTTAGACATCTGCTTTTGTTAGATTGTATTGTCCTTGTCTAGAAGCCCGCTGCGTATGAGCCACTCCTTCTAAGCCTCTTTGTTGCTTAAATTTGGCCAAAAGGGTCCCACCTGATCTTTTTGTTATTTCCCCCCACCCTCCGACATGGGACCAAACCAACCAAACAGACAAAATCCAGAAAAGAGCAACCAATCAAAAAAGATCTTCAGTCTACAGCCATACCACCCTGAAGGCGCCCAATCTCATCTGATCTCAAAAGCTAAGCAGGTGCGGGCCTGATTAGTACTTGAATGGGAGACAGATCTTCAGAAGAGACTACTCAGAGACCAACAGTTTAGAAGTCTGGCACCAGTGACTCCAAAGTTCCAATGGAGTCACTGGTGCCAGACCTCTCAAATATAACCAAGGCTGAGAGGATTAAAGAAATGGTTCTTATGCATGTGTGACTATCTGACATTAAAGCCCTCCAGACACAAACTCATATTTTTAGACATGTCTTCTACTTAAATTGAGACAAAATAGCTTTTTACTGACTCTAAACATGTAATTTTGATACTTAAAGATGGTGGTTTTAACTTTTTTAAAAAAATGTGTTTTCTTGGACATACATACTCATATAGTAATTCTACTCAGTGAAATAACTAACAAACAAACAAGACATTGTCTGGATAAAAAATAAAATGTCCACCCATTAAAACCCCATTGGAGTGGCCCTTTTGTTGTTATCTTGTCTACTACTCCCACCACAGTTAAAGTAGCAGAGATTGCTTCTTGGATCCACCACAGTTGAGTCAAGCCAGCTTCTCTCAAGTAGGAGTGCATCCCTGATCCTGCTTCACCATGCAGGATCACCATCCAGAACCTGAGCACCCTCCCCAGCAGGACTCTGCTTGCCAGGAAACAACAGGGGACCAAAAACAATGGGACAAATGAAGTTTTTTTCACACTAGTTATCTCAGTGTAATACATTGTCACCCCTTGTCTGTATCTGTTGCTGTAGTTCTCACCCTAGTCTTCACCATAGGCTTGGCAGAAACCACCCCCGCTGGTTGGTCTCACTGTGAAAGGTTTTTATTTGCTCTCTTCTATCGCTTTTGAGCAGGATGCATAATTACTATTTATTTTTACTGATCTGGTTTAACAAAGGACAAAATATGCAGCCCTCCTTCACAAGGAGAAAGCTGCCCCTAACTGCATCTGTAGCATTTGTAACCCTATAAATTTTACTGTACTTAAGCCATCTGATTGAACATGGGGAAAAGTAATTATATAAAAATAGATAAAAAGGGTCTTGACCCTGAGAGTCTGATATACCTCAAATTAGTAACTGTTACCCAGGAGAGTTCCTCATACCAAGTTTTTCAATCCTTTTATAAGGAGATGAGGAGTGAATTTTCCATCTCTGCCAAAGCTAAAAACTTGTTCCTCTCACTGGCTGAGTCTATAGCCCAGACTCTAAATGTCACTTCATGCTATGTTTGTGAGGGAGCCAACATGGGAGACCATTGGGCTTGTGAAAAAGATGACAAATGGCCTCCTGAATAAATCATCCAGTACTAATGGTCCTGCCACCTAGGCAAAAGATGGCCCTGGGGGCTATTGCACCCATATATATATATATATATATATATATATGCTCAAACACATTGTCAGGCTGCAGGCTGTTGTTAAAATTATAACTAATGAAACTGCAAGAGCCCTCAATTTGCTGGCAAAACAAAGCACTAAGATGCACAGTGCAATCTATCAAAACTGCTTGGCTTTAGACTATTTGCTTGCTTCTGAGGAACAACTACTGCTTACAGATTAATGATAAAAAAAAAAAAAGAGGTTGTAAAAGAGATCACAGACGGATGAAAAAGCTTGCCCATGTCCCCATCCAGACTTGGAAAGGATGGGATCCCAATGACCTGTTTGGAGGATGGTTTTCTGCCTTAGGTGGATTCAAAACCCTGATAGGGACAATAGGCCTAATCCTGGGAGTATGCTTAATATTGCCCTGCCTGGTTCTCCTGGTGCTGTGGTTTATCAAGACTATTATAAAGGCCGTTATAGAAAAAGATGGCCACACATGTAATGATGCTATAAAAATACAAACCCCTAAATTAAGATGATGCTCTTTGACCCTAGGTGTGTCTGAGCATCAAAGCGGGGAATAATGTAGCAGAGAGGAGGATCAGAAGAAAACAGACTAGGCCTGAGTCCTGAGAAAGTAGCAGGGAGGTAGGGATGGCATAACAGAGAGATAAAACCTGAGAAATCTGAACATGAAGAAGGTCACACAGCACCAGGGAGGGGAAAGTCACATAGCCAGTAAAATTAAATATAACCATATATGGATTAGACCTTGCTTTTTGCTTCTGTAACCTGCTTGCAAGAGTATATAAGGTGAGACCCCTTTGTTCTCAGGGCTCAGCCTTGACATGAGTCTGCTGAGTCTGTGTTGGCACAATAAACATTGCTTCCTGCTAATTGCCTCAGAGTCCATATCTCAGTTTGCAACCTCCCACACCTTTTTTCTTTGAAACAGGGTCTCACTGTGTTGCCCAACCTGGCCTCAAACTCATGGACTCAAGTGATATTCCATTGCCACTACCCAGGTAGCTAGCACTACACGAGCTGCCACTGCATCCAGCTCAATTTTTCTTTCTTCTTTTCCTTCATTTCTTCTTCTTAAACCTGGAAAGGCAGACTTTATTCAAAGGGAGCCATGGAAACAGGTATAGGAACCACTGCAATAGAGTATTGCAGTAGGTTTGGACTCAATTTCTACAATTGTTTTATTTTTCCTTTCTTTTGAAATGAAAATCAAGGGCTGACTGGGCACAGTGGCTCATGACTCTAAACTTAGCTATTTAGGAGGCAGAGACCAGAAAGATACCAGTTGGAGCCAGACTGGGCAGAGTCCCCATCTCAACCAGTGGGTGAGCAGAATGCACCTGCTATGTGAGGGCAGCATAAATAGGATTGCAGTGACCTGGGTGTAAAAGTGTGACCCTATTCAGAAAAAAAATAATGAAAGCAAAAAGGCTGGGGGCATGGCTCAAGTGGTAGAGCACCTACCTGCCTGGAAAGCGCAGGTCCTGAATTCAAACCCCAGTACTGAAAAAAATATCCAGAAACCCAGGGCCAGGAATGTAGCTTAGTGGTAGAGCCCTTTCTAGTATGTGTTCAATCCCCAGCACCAAATACCTTAGCTAGCTAGATACATAGAAAGATCCAAACAAACAAGGCTCACACATTGTTCTGATTGGCTTCACTCTGTAAATTCTTCCTACTCTTCCCCACCCCCTACCTTTTGCAATTTATTTAAAAAAAACTAGTCTTTGGTTTTGAGAAATGTACCACAAACTGAATTTTGCTGTTAACCCCATGAATTCTTGCTTGGAACTTCATCCCTCAAAACTTCAAAGTCCCCAAAGCTCTTCTCACATGAGCATCCTGTGTCTAAGGATACTGAGAGGACCTACTAACTGCCAGGCTGTTTACACATATTACCTTTAACATCACACAGGTACTTGTTTTTTGTACATGTAACAAACCAAAGAACATGCCCACAGTTGACTCCAAATAATGGAGCTAATATCACAAGTGAGTCAGCCTGATCCCACAGTTCATCCTTTCCCTGTACCAGATGGTCCCAATCATTGCATTATGGGCTGTTAAGCTACTTTTATTTTTTAGGTTGGGGGTGGGGGATGGGAAATGAACTCAGAGCTTTGGAGGACACTTACTAAGCTACATCCCCATCCCCCAAATCTACTTTTATTATTAATCTAAGCACTGAGCATGGGGCATACATTTTAAATTGATGATAAGCTAGTATTAACACCTGTTCACAATATAAAACTCATCTGTGCCTAACCAAAAATACAGAAGAGAAATAAGACAATCTACTATGGGAGGAGCCAATACCGTGGCTAGTCTTTATTGGAAAGAAGAAACTTTACAGCACATTCTGAGTTAGTTAGTTAGGGGGCTCAGTGGGCCAACTGGTGGGGCACCAGCTTGTAATGGGTTCCACAGTTTGGGCATCTCTGAGTCTCGCCTTTGTGCAGCCAGAACCAGATGACAGTACAGTTGTCCTCTTCACCTGAAAGTAAAAAAGGTGGATGAAGGTCATCCAGCTTAGAAAGGGTGACTTTCAACATTAATTTCTTTGCCTCAAACACTTCCAAGACAAGAAATAAAAAAGATGGTTGACATATTAAGAACTCTCCTCTTTTGGATTAAGAGATTGAAGCTGAGTTTACCTGTGAGTAAACTGAACTTATATCAAGGTCAGTGTAAGTTCTAACATTCCCTTGCCTACATAGAATTCCAAAGCAGGGTCCATACTGGTAGATATCCTCAGTGCCTAAAATGGTGCCTTGCATACAAGTAGTATAATAATACAATTATCTGGATGACTACTCTGTGATACACTTCCAGTGAGCCAATCTTGTTGCTGTTCTATGTAGGATGACCTACTTGTCCATGATGAAGCTTGAGAGAACAGAACCCTTAGACCACCTTAATTACATACCTTCTTTTCACAAATACGGTCACGAGATTCAAAGCAGCTTTTAGATACCCTGTATAGTAAGCTACAGAAAATAAAAGTGAAGTACTTACAGATGCAGCCTACTATTCTCTTGTTGGTAATAGATGGGACTAAATTAGGGTCTTCCTTGGTGCCTGAAGCTGCCTTTGGGGGTAGCATATTATATGGGTCCTAAAAAAAAAAAAGAACTGAGCAATTATGTCAATAACTCCTATCCCTCCAGAAGCAAAGAGAGGCTGTTCCTACAAATCAGGTTTCCAGGATCAAATGCTACCAGACAGGAGACTCCTCTGATCCCACCCAAGAGTATGGCCACAGAAGGGATTTTTCTCACCAGACCCTTCTGTGCGGCAATCAGGATCTCTCTCTCCAGTCCAGTAGCCTGCTCCTCATCAGTAGGAACACCACCTAAAGAAAAACACGTGAGTTACAATGTCAACTAACATGATCAACAGTTAAACACACACACACACAGAGAAATGATGAAGACGAAAAGGTCACACGTAAACAGCTGCATAAGTTTTAGAGGGTTCCCAAGGTCTAAAAGGCTACCCATATTCCTGGTTCTCTAAAGGACCATTGTATCACAATCCCGCAAAGTGGCAGCGTTAGCGGAAGCTTTTTTCCTCCAACCACCGAAGTCAATGTCTCGATATATTTCTAAAGGTAAGCCAATACGAGTCCATTAGGCTTGAGGTGGCGAAAGGTTTACCGACAGTCCGTCCCATCCCCATTCAGGCTGAAGCTCCGGCCCCCCGAGGTCACCCGGCACCCTCTATTTAGGACACTTTGGCAATAGAGTCAGTTTGGTAGGTGGCAGCAGCTACGGCCAGAAATTACAGTCTGCCAAGCCAGGGCACTAAGGACCGTGATGGAGTCAGCAGTGCCCCAAGGAGGTACAGGGCCGACCCCAGTACCAACCACCCAGGACAGCAACGACGCCGGTCCTTCGCTCGCGCGACGGACAGAATACCTCCAGAAGCCATGGAGCGCACCGCAGCCGCCCCACTGGGCCCGCGGGCCCTAAGGGCCTGCGCGACCAGCACCCCGGCTCCGCGAAGTAACCTTGAAGCCATCACCCGCGACAAACAGCTGCACTTCCGGGCGCAGGCTGGGAGATAGGCGTGACTTCCGGGGAGCGGGCTGCTTTGCGTCGGACAGCCTTCCGCTTCCCCCGGGATCCTGCACACCCACGTGACTGTGCCGGATTGAGCTAATGCGCATGCCTAGCTCCGTCTTTTCTTCTGCTGCGCACCCTCGGAGGTTGCGGGATGGGTCATCATAGAGAGCATTTGCGGCTGTGGCTTGGGCAGGTTGCTTTGTGTCTCAGGGACTCGGTGTCTCAACCACTTTGTAGTTCCTGTTTGTCTGGCCTGGTAGTCATGTTGGGGAATCGTGGAGACTGCGGGTGGAAGTCTTTAAGTCCGCTTCTGCTAAGATGGGTGCTGAACAGCAGATGATACAAACTTGGGAGTGACTCCAGAGGGCTATTGTGTTGGTTATTAACAATACAATGTTAATAATCATTTTTGTCGCGGTGCTGGTTCTCCTGGCAGTGCGTCAGCCGGCGCCGTCTTGTTGCGGCAACAGGATCCACCTGCAGTCTTAGCATCAACTTCCTATTACAAGTGTTTTGTGGGGGACGACCGTCCCGGCCCGAGAGGGACTCTTCCCGCGACCGAAGTCTTTGGTGATGTGCAGTGACGACGTGCCACTCCGTGAGCCTAGAAACCAAGGAAGAGGTTAGGGGGAGGAAGGCTTGTTGGTCATGGGAAGTGGAGTCAGGGTATGCTATGGTCAGAGTCTGTGTTTAACGCAGAAAACATCGTACGTAGCTCCCCCAAACCCATGGGTGAAGTGTGCAAATTTCTTAGCACGGTGGGCACCTTCTAAAACTCTGTCCCCTTCGTGGGCTCTGGCACTTTGTTCACATTGCCAGAAACAGTCGCTGCATGCAGTGACTTACCCTGTCAGGTGGAAAATCCCTTAAATTGTGGTCTAATGTCTTAAAATGTGCTCATTGTCTTAAAAAAGGCCTACCATATAATAGCATCAAGTAATTTTTTAGTAAATTTGCTTCTTGGACAGAATAGCAGAATCAGTTTATAGGACTTCTTACCTAAGAGGTCAACTTGAGGCAAATTGGAGAGGACTGAAGTCCCACATGTTCGCTCCTGTCCCATGCAAGCTGGTGGGACATTCCTTCACCTGGTCTTGGGTGTTCCATCCAAAAAATAGTCTCTCTTCTGAGGCCAAAAAATTACTGATTCTGCTTGAAGGTGGCTTTGCTTCATATGGCTTCTATTGTTACTCCCTTTCCTCTACTGCAGCGCCTTCAAATTCCTTAATCCAAAGAATGTTCCCAAGGGTCTATACTTGATTTGTAACTAACTGTGTTAGGTGTTTAGTGAAGAAAAAAAGCATTGGTCTGAAAAACAGGCCAACCAGCTAGCTCAGCCAGTCTTGTTTACTCCTTTTGACAACCATTTTACTACCAGTAAAACTCAGATTAGACTAGATTAGTATTTCCTGAGTATTTCATGGGATGTAAGTCTCAAGATACATACACTCTTGGGAGACAGAATTTGATCAAGGCAGGAAAGTCCTGGAGACACATTCTAGCATATTAAAGACTGATTAGGCCTGCTGCAAAAAATTCTGTTTTTCAGTGGCTTAAGCTAGAATTTTCCTACCTTAACCACAAAACCTTTTCTCAATGAACATCTACTGACCTGCCCCTCAGTAGATGGGTAAGACACTGAGCTGTGGTGTGTTGTGATTTCCTGCTGCCTCACCATAGGATTGAGAATTGAGTTTAGACTTGTTTCTGACATAGCAGGCTTTCCTCATAATAGGAAAATTTCGCAGGCCCTCCTCCAGCTCAGGAAAACCTCAGCCTCGCTTTGGGATTATTCAGATGGTACAGTGAATGCCAATGTCAGGACCAGATTACAGGGCCCATTCCCCCACCCCTGCAGCCTTACCTGTCACTACCCTTTACTCACACCCCTGCCCCTCAGGTCTCCTTGGCAAACAGTTTAGCTTGGGGAACAGTCTGCCACTTCTGTTCCATCATTCTTTGCCAAAACAATAAACTTTTATTGAGTATTTTATTGAGTACATTTTACTTTATGAGATAATTTTTAGTTGTCAAAATAAATGCACATTGCATCAAGTCAAACACACAGATGTGCAAGGAAAAAGCAAACAGTTTGGTGGTTATTCTTTTATTTTCTTCTCTCTGAGCCAGGGTTTCTCAACCTCAGCACAATTAATATTTTGGGTCTGGAAATTCTTTGCAGGAGGGAGAGGGTGAGGCTATCCTCTGAGCATTGTAAGATTTAGCAGCTGTGTAGTTAGCACTCCCCAGAGTGACAACAAAAGGATCTTCAGTCATTGTCTCATATCCCCTTGGGGCAAAATCACCTCTGGTTGAACATCACTGTTCTATGCTTATATAAACATATTCAAAGACTAAATAAATACAAAGAAATATACATACGTGGGAAGCTTCTTTAAAATATACAATTATATCAATGTATTTGCATATAAAATAAAAATTATTGTAAATTGCCGTTTTCATATAACAAAATATTTTGTGGACATCCATCCAGATCAAAACATATAGATCTAATTTATTCATATAATTGCTGCATAATATTCCCTGTTAGGGATATACTGCAATGTATCCAACCATTCCCCCTTGGTGAATATTCAGATTTCTAGAGTTTTGGTTTTTTTGTTTTTAAGGCAAGTTCTTGTTCTGCTGGCCTCAAACTCAAGGTCCTCCTGCCTCAGCCTCCCAAAAGCTGGGATTACAAGTGAGTACCACTACACCCTGCAAAAAACCTGCTAGGTTTTTGCCTCTTAGACAATACTGCAGTGCATGTCTGTGCACATACAACCTTATATTCCAGTTTTCATTTCTGAGGAATAAGGACAAATAGTGTGTAAGTTTAACATTTTAATACATTCTGCCAGATTGCTGAAAGCAGAGTAATTCATGCTCTCCACCAGCAATGCATATGAGTATCAGTCCCCACCTCTAAGTGGAGAGTTTCTGGGCCTTTAGCAGTTTCCCCACTGAGTGAATGAAAAGTGAGATGGTTGTTTGTGCTGTGTGTGTACTTGTTCAGCTCCCTGAACTGTAAGCGGCCCACAAATTTTGGGGCTTGAAATCAGGGTCTTCACCTTGAGCCACTCTACCGCCCCTATTTTTGTGAAGGGTTTTTCAAGATAGGGTCTCACAAACTGTTTGCCCGGGATGGCCTTGAACAGTGATCCTCCTGATCTCTGCCTCCTGAGTAGGATTACAGGCATGAGCCACCAATGTCTGACTCTCAAATGTTCATTGATCATTCACATTTCCTTTGACTGTGAACTGCCTGGTTCAGCCACTCTGGCAAACTACCTAACCTAACTTCTTTGCCTTAGTTTCATTTTCTTTTTGATTATTATTTTACTTTTTAATTTAAATGCATTAATTGTACATATTAATAGAGTTCCATGTGATGTGATATTTCCACACAGGCATACATCATGCAATGATGAAATCCAACCTCTTTTTATTCACCACCACCACCCCAGCCTCTAGTAATCACTATTCTTGTTTAGCCTCCACATATGAGAGAGAACATACAGTCCCTATCTTTTTGTGCCTGGTTTATTTCACTTAACATAATGTCCTCTTACTGTAAATGACAGAAAAAGTGCCTAACACATTATAAGTACTCAGTAAATGTTATTCGTGTATTTGTGGTTTTTCTGTTTATGTAAAGGAGTTTGGAAGGGTGCACTGGGAACTAATACATGCTCTTGCTCTGTGCCTGCATGGGCGGGGGTTAGGGGTGGAAGAAACTGAGCCTGTGAAGGAAGGCAAGGGTAGGAGGGGAACTTATTGCTTCTTAGCTCTGTTTTTGTTTTAACTATGTAACTGTATTAACTATTGGGAAATAACAACTGTTTTTAAATTGCTTATGATATTTTTTCTTGGGGAAGTTGTTTATTGATTCAAATTGAATATTATGGAGATTTTATGGAGACTTTTCCATGGGTCAAGGTTGGTCAGTTTTTTAAAGTAAGTAAAACCTACTTGCTGTCTTAAATCTATTGCAAGCAAGGTGGGTAGGGGGACAGAGTCCACAAAGCTTGAAGTAATGGGATCAAAATCTAGATCTGCATTTCTGTTGCTAAAGGAGGAGCTCTGAGCCCCAGTGGCCAGAGTGGACACTTTTTAATTGTAGCAGGGACCAGGGGGAAAGCACTGCTCACAGGCCTGTTGGAGTCCAGCATCAACCCAGACAGCCTAGACCCCAGGGCCCCCCTCTGGAGGCTTGAGGAAGATGAAACAAGAGGCTGAACTTCTGGCAGATATGGGAAGCCTGGACCTTTCAGGCCAGCAAGTGCTTTTATGCAAACACCACAAATCCAAAATGGGTCCTCAGCATGGAATTGTCCTCAGCATGGTGCCTGGCTGTAGTGGGAATCAGAGGAGTCAGAGAAAGTGTCTTATTTAAAGCATCTTTTATTTTAAGAAACAAAAGGAGTATGGTGGAATGGGGGAGCAGCCCAGGGCCCCTCCAAAGACTGAAGACCCCCCCAATTTGGATGCCCCACTGATTCCTGCATCCTCTTCCTCACAGTCACCTTTTCCTTGCCTCCTTTTCTTCTTCCTCCCTCTGAGCCCTTCCTTCTGCCTTCTACCCCCTCCTTCTGGTGCAGCCATGGAGCCATGGTCCTTCTTCTTAAGTCAATAAGCACATGGAAGGAGTGAGTGAGGGCTTTTTATGGGGGGATGGGTAGGGTTGCAGGAGCTGCAAGGCATGGTGGTATGCCCTGACCGCTCTGGGTACCTGGGTGGGCCCTGGTGAGGGCTGTACCAAGAGGGCAAGGGGGTTGCCAGGTGTGAGACAAATTTCCTCACCTCTCCCTCCCTCAGGTCCTGCCACTGAACCCAACTGGCAACCAGAGTGCCAGGAAGTCCACTGATACAGGGGTAGAGCACAGCCCCATAGGCACACAGAGCAGGGAGAAGGGCAGAGTGTGGCTCTGAGGGGCTGAGGGGGGGTGGTAGAGAACAAACAGGGACCAACCAGCACTGATCGTGGTTTGGGATAATCCCCTGCTCAT